GTGAAAAATCACCGGAACAAAATCTTTCAAACCAATTTCGACACTGCCTTTCTTTTAAGGCTTCATCGCCATATACGGCACATAACTTCTTTTGTGCTTGCGATGAGTTCTTGCCTTTTCGGAAGTAATACAATAAAATGTGTCGGAAGTGCACGTCCTGTTCTTTCATTTTTAAATTGGGATAAAAACAAACTAAGGAACTAAACAAAAAAATTTTTTTACTAATTAACCTAGAAGCCCATACAGTAAGAAAAAATATAGGTTAAATGCTCTGGCCACGTTAACAAAACAAAAGAAAGTATAGAGTGAATCCGTCAACAAAAACGGCAATGACTTAGTTGCCAACCCAATAGGACTTCCAGACAATTCAACAAAAATACATTTACATATATATTTATATATATCCGAAAGCCAACTATAGAATAGGGGGACACGAAAAATGAGAAGAGGAGGGGGAATATCCAATCGCAAACTCAAAATCGACACGACAGAGGCGCTTTATAATCAATCGTCGTCTTCGTCGTCCATAGTAAGACCGGATCGGGGAGTTCTTGAAAGATCCGGTGTCTGCCATGGTTGGTAACCTGTTAAGCACAAAGAAAAGACAAGAGTGAGAGAAGTAAATAAGGTTATTTTTTCTACGAGCGAAACTAAGTCAAAACGCGATGATGTATTTGCTCATAAGCTAATTCGTCTTTACCACTGCCAAAATCTCCTAGGCTCGTACCAAAGAACAACCTGACACTATCTTCAGTCTCCTATAATGATTCGGATTGATCTGTTCGATTAAAGTTGGCTTAAAAACTGTTAAATTAGTGATAATCTATATCCCCCTTCAGAATCCTTAGCCAACATTAGTGTAGGACTATATGACCCAACAGTATCTCTCCTCTTTGGCAAACACTGCACATGTACACTGTACCTACTTCAATATGCACATAAAGGCAAATAAGAAAATTCCTTGCTTTTTAATATGGATTGAGGTGTCACTCATTATATACGACGTGATAAATCGAACTGAAGAGATCGAAGTATCCAGTCTTAAATATAGAATGCTGAGTATGCCCTAGATACCCCCCCCCCACCCCTCATCCCACGTCCTTACTGCTAATGAACTGCACACTCCGTTTATTCATTGTATTAAATAGAGGCAGTTAGTTATATTCCCATCTCCTAACTTTGGGACAGGAATTCAGGCATTTCATGCTGGATAATTCCCAGCTTATTGCTGTAGACATTTCGTTTAGCATAAAGAAGCCTATCGTGTGCGGTGACTGAATATCGAAAGACTAAAATTGTAGTGATCCTATAGTCATTTCTAACATGTACCTCCTTTAAAAGCTATGATAGAGGCGATGGCGATGTCAGGTTTTATAAAATGGAGGCCCATTCAAAATGGTTGGAATTAATGGATGACACACAATGACAGTATTGCTTACCTGGAGTGCTTGAACCGTCGTCGCCAGCAAAGTGGGCCGGGGTAGCCAAAGTGGGATTGAAAGCGTAGGGTAGAGGAGTGGCGTCTGCTCTTGGAGTCATGCTTCCCAAGCGAGGGGTCATCGATCCCGCCTGCACATAATGAAAAGATAACACATGGGAGCATGAAGTATCAATTAAAGTAACTACTTTACACCAATGTAAAGTGGTAAGAAGAGATACAAACAAAAAATACCATTGAAATGGAGTTGCGCCCTAATAAACTAAAAAAGTGGAAGGAATTAAAAACTGAATGAAATAGCCGATGTGAAAGCAGGGAAAATCATGTAGAAAGATGGAAGAAGGCAGTTTTACACATCGCCTTCATGACCAACTATATGGTGATAGATTTCAATTTACATAATTAGGAATTGGTGCGGAAGTCAAATTATAAAAGTTCCTACATTAGCATGATTGATCATACCTTTCACTCGAAGCCAATTGGATATAGATTTCGAATGCCCAAAGCTATCACTTATTTCTACATAATAGTGCTTTTAGAATTAATTCTTTTGTCATAGACACCAGATAATAACTGTCTTAACCAAAGAGACTTATATACACGCATATTGCATTAAAAATGAAATTCAAGCTTCGGCATTAAAATGACACAAAGCCATAAATGTGAGCGAATTTTTAAGCACCAAAATGAGGCAATGAGAGGACAGTCATACCATGGGTGTTCGAGGTTCACGCATTGGCGTAGGCCTGGGTGTACCAGCACCAGTCCTGCCATCATTAATGAGATTGCCCGAACGATCCAGAAGGCCGACATTCATTCGCAAGACGTGCACCTTCTTGAATTGTGAATGCAACTCCATTAGTACTTCTTTCGCGGTCGCATCACAAATTATGCCCGTTAGCCCTTTCAGTGTACCCTGTAGAATAGCAGAAGAGAACACATAACATGGCTGATAGAAATGGTATATGTTAATTTCATGCAATTAAAAAGTTTCTCAACACGTAAGAATGAAATTTAAACAAACTAAGGGCAAGCTAGTGTTTTCGATCTCTTATTTATCGAATGTCATCTACGTATATTTGCAAAAAGCACAGCTACCTGCACAAAAAATTTAAATTTATTTTAACAAAGGCGTTGCTCTGACTATTCACCGTTGTTATGTGATATAGTTGTGCAGAATACGAGAGTCCGAAACCGCTTTACTTATGAATTTGCGATGAATAATTCTTCAAAGAGGTCTTCCCGCTTATAATTAAATGATTCCTTTTATCTCAACTATAAATTTCCACATATTTTTTGTCGGGAATCAATGTCAAAATTCATTTTTACTCTTAACTAAAAGCGGAAATATTAATAACTGGTAGGCTGATCGATAATGGATATAAATGGAAAGGGTGCTTACAGCAATGATACGAGCGCTCTTTCCTATAAGGGACCTATCCACTTGATTACCACCACCACCACGACGATTTCCAAAGCTGCCTCGGCCACCTCGACGACTTCCGGCAAGATGTTGAATGGCCGGTCGACCTCCAGAAGAAGCTGAAGCACCATCGCTGTTTTTCTCACTGTTCGTGTTGCCACCTCCAACGAGTGCCACCTGTTTCGATTTTGCAACCATCATACCAGAGTTCTCTGGGTAGGTGCGGCAGTACACAAATACCCAGCTGCGGTAGATGTAGCGAATCTCACCCACTATACCGGTGTAGGGCTTGTCCAAGAAACGCACTGTATCCTTCACCTATTCATAGGAAGTGATTAAATAACAATTCTTAAATGCGAATTAGATAATCGGATTCGGGGAGTAGAAAGAACCTATTTACGCTACCTACCAACTTAATTTCAAAGAGGTCTGCTACGATATAGACCAACCCAGACTAAAGGTAAAACAATTGAACGCGGATGAGGTCTGAAAGATGGATAAATACATGGCTTTGGTAGAACAGTGAGGATGAAATTTGAGGAGACATAAAAATAGATTCACCACCTATTAGAAACAAGAATAGTCAGAATTAAAGTTTCGACCAATTTTAAAAAGAGCGTCCTTATTGGCAACGCATATCAAGATCTTCATAAGCAAATGTACTTCGAGCTGAGAAAAAAAATACCTTTTTGCAAATCAATCTCCTCCCTGTTGTAGCCATGCAGCTGGTTGTTCAAATAGCATAATGTATACTATTTTTAATAAGTCAAATCCCAAGTGCGCTGGCTAAACTTATGGAAAGAATGGTTAACAAGAGTCTGACCTGGTTCCTTGAGACCAACAATATTCTTAGGAGTGAACAAGCCGGTTTTAGGCCACAAAAATCAACGAACCAACAAGTAGCCACTCTCTCCCAACACATCAAAGATGCCCTTGATGCAAAAATATCCTTACGGCTGTTTTCGTCGATTTCAAATCAGCATATGACTTAGTATGGAAAGAGAAGCTAATTCTAAAATTGTCAATGATTGGTATTAAGCACAACACGCTAAACTGGATAAAAACATTCATTGGACAAAGATCATGTAAAGTCAGATATGGAAATGCTCTATCAAAATCCAATCTTTTACAAACAGG